CTTATTCCTTACATCCCCTTCCCTTAAATATGATAAGTTCCAAGTGCTCTTCTATTTTTTTGCCCATTTCTGCTTAACTCTTACCTTCCCATGGATTCTTATATACCCTTGTCATATCAACTGTTACCCTCCCATGGATTCTTGTATACCCTTGTGATATTAACTCTTACGTCTATGCAAATTACCTCCAAGGTCTACATTTCTAGGACTAATGTCTTACCTCATTTTAAAACTATAATATAACTTGAATTACCTTACAGAAATTGTAATGTGGCTCTCTCATTCATACTGAACTTCCATATATGTCCAAATCTGTTTCCTTCTATAAAAGATGATCTGAACAGACAAATAACAGAAATTGATTCTGAGTTCTCGGTCTCAGTGAATGACATTACCAGTTTCTCTGTTACCTGATCTCTAGAAAGCTCTGGCTCACTTTTAACTCTGAATTCAGCTCATTTTATCTCTTACACAGTTGGCAATGAGTTAATTAGCTGATGAACAGAATCTAGTGTAATCTTTTGTTTATGAGATAGGTATTACTTTTCTGTTTTATGGATGAGGACCTTGAGGGCCAGAAAGGTCAAATAATGTTTCTAAGGGTGATACATGGCACCTAAGAGATCCACTTAAGATCAAACCCACATTGCTATCTCTGCAAAGTCTGGCCTATTGCCCATTATATTGTATTTTCTCTTCTTATAGTTGGTCTGATTGTTACTTTTGTACCAGGGCTAACATACTTCATGTCCACATTTGTATTCATGTTCCTTTTTTTGACTTTATAATCTACATATCTTTGTGACTATGAAGGTTTTATTAATAGTGTAGAAAAATTTTTCAGTAGCTTAAGCTAAAACAGGGCTCAGGAAACTTTCCATAACAGACCTACTCGTAAGTATTTAGGCTTTGTGGGCCATACAGTCTCTACTGCATCTACTCAATCTTACCTTGGTAGCAAGAAAGCTGCTGTAGATGATAAATCAACAATGGCTGTGGCCATGTTCCACAAACTTTATTTGTAAAAGCAGACTATGGGCAAGGCACGCTGGCTCATGCCTGTAATCCTAGCACTTTGGGAGGCTGAAGTGGGCAGATAACTTGAGTCCAGATGTTTGAGACCAGCCTGGGCAATACAGCAAAACCCCATCTCTACGAAAAATACAAAAATTCACCTGGCGTAGTGGCTTGCACCTGTAATCCCAGCTATCTCTGGGGCTGGAGGGCACTGGAGCCTGAGACAGGAGGATCACTTGAGTCTGGGAGGTCGATGCTGGAGTGTGCACTCCAGCCTAGGTGACAGAGTGGCACCCTGTCTCAGAAACAAAAATAGCCAAACCAAAGCAAAAAAAACCCACTTAAACAGACAACTGTGGGCAGATTTGGCCCTTAGATCTGTAGTTATGTCATTTTTACTATCTAAGCTAATGTGTTTTATTGGATTTACTTATTCACGCATTTATTTATGTATTTAAAATGCCTTGAAGTATAATTTCAATTAGATAAAATAGCAGTTAAGAGAGGTCATTGCAGAGATACCATTTGAATTTAACATTCTTGGACCTTTGACTGAGAAGTATACTTTTTTTTTTTTAAATCAGGCAGGGTCTCACTCTGTCACCCAGGCTGGAGTGCAGTGGTGTGATCATGGCTCATTGCAGCCTTGAACTCCTGGACTCATGCAATCCTCCTGCCTTAGCTCCCCAGGAACTGGGACTATAGGTGTGTGCCACCATACCAGGCTAATATATTAAAGGATGGGTGTGTGTGTGTGTGTGTGTGTGTGTGTGTGTGTACACAGGGTCTTACCATGTTGCCCAGGCTGCTCTCGAACTTCTGGGTCTAAGTGATCCTCCCGCCTTGGCCTTCCAAAGTGTTAGGATCATAGGCGTAAGCCACCACATCCTACCAAGAAATGCACTTGACTGAGGGTTAGGAGGCACTGATTTCCCTCCCCTAGTCAATTGAAAATTCACATACACCTTTTGACTTTCCCAGAATTAACTACTAACAGCCTGTTATTAACTGGAGGCTTTATTGATAACATAAATGATTAACACATTTTTTGGTTTTTTTTGAGTAGAGATGGGGTTTCACTATGTTGGTCAGGCTGGTCTTGAACTCCTGACCTTGTGATCGGCCTGCTTCGGCCTCCCAAAGTGCTGGGATTACAGATGTGAGCCACCACACTTGGCCTGATTATATGTTATAGGCATTATATACTGTATTCTTACAATAAACTAGAGAAAAGAAAATATTATTAAAATCACGAGGAAAGAAAATATGTTTGCTGTTTATTAAGTGGAAGTAGATCATCCTAAAGATCTTCATTCTTACCATCTTCACGTTGAGTACACTGAGGAGGAAGAGGAGGGGTTGTGGTCTTGCCTTCTCAGGGGTGGCAGAGGTAGACGAGGTAGAGGAGGTGGAAGGGGAGGCAGGAGAGGCAGGGACACTCAGTGTAACTGTTATTGGAAAGAATCTGCATATATGTGGATCCACACAGTTCAATCCATGTTGTCGAGGGTCAGCTATATTTGAATTGCTCAGAATTCTGAACTTTGTCTCATGGCTAGCTAGGCATATGAATTTATGCTAGTTATGTGATCTTTATGAGCTTGATGTACCTTGTTGGTAAAATGGTTAAGAACAATGCCTGCATCACAGAACTGTTGAAGGGATGAAGTGGAAGAACAGTGTATTAGTAGAAGTATGAATGTCGATGATGTTATCCTCCTGGGTCTCTTATGTATTTCCAGATGATATATTTCTTACAGAGAAATTTGATAGAGGTGGAAGGAAAGGAAGTCATTTCTCAAATAGAAGTGAGAAAGCTCCTGTAGTCATTCATCTCTCTCTGTTAGCGATGATAATAGAAAGGACATCTACTTTTCTGGGTGGGGCGAATGACAGTGGAGAATGTAAGCAAGGCTGAGCAGATAGAAGGCCTGAAAACGAGGACAAGAACATCAGACTTTCATTGGCAAGCTGGGGATGCGTCAGGAGAGCAAGGAAGGGACACGAGTCTGGGATGCATACCTGGGAATGGAACCTAAGTATGGGTTTGGATGTGAAACTGGAATAGAAAAGCATTGACAGAAGCCCACAAATAACTGCATCAGAAGCACCTTTCCCAGAACAATTCTGAACTTTGTCTAACGGCATATGCCTTTGGAGGGAAGAAAGGCTTTCTTGTGTTTTGGCAAGGGTGCTGAGTTAGGTAGCTAATAGCCTAACAGTTTGACTTTGTGGTAAGGTGTGTAAGGCTGCATTTGCATATTTAAAATTCATATCCACTGCAGTGACAAGTCACTGAACACTGTAGATGGGAAGACATTTCAGTGGAAGCTCGGTCAAAAGCCCTTTTGAAACACCTCTGACAAAATCACGCCGTAAATGAATAAAACCAGAGTTTCTGGGTATCTCTGAAAATGTCTGACATGATGACAGTCTCAGACAAAGGTACTGTGCACAACTTCTAATAAGCCATCACACACAAGCACAGCATTTCAACTTGCAGCTAGATATCCTCAGTTCCAATTTTGAGTCAGGTGGATTGTGTTGCCCAGGGACAGACTGTGCTTTGATAGTGACTCGGAACAATATAATTCTCTCCTAATGCAGCTTCATATCACGAAGTTGTATATTTTCTTGGTATGATTGCATGGCCCTTGAAATAACACAACCACATAGTTACATGCTTTAAAGTAGCCCAATAGATAAGAAGTCCACATTTTAGAAGACTGATTTTTATAATGTAAGTTTAATTACATAAGTTATTTATGAACATTGGGATGTGACATCTTACGACTCTCATTGGGATCCCTGAGTGGGTTTAAAACTGGCTTCTGTGGGAGTGGGGAGAAAACACTGTCTCAGTGACCACAGCCCTTTGTGTTGTCTTATTGAACTCTTCCCCTCTGTTAGCATTTCGTCAGTTATACTTAGGTCCTTCTCACCTCATCTGTGACTTGAACTGCTTGTACTAAATTACATCTGAGGTGACTTTCAGCTGTAAAGTTTGGTGATTTTATTAAATTCTAGGCATTTTATTTACTTAAAAATCTAAGTCAGTGCTCTGTCTTCTGGCTGCTCTGTCACTCTTTCCCAACAAGTTTAGTCTTGTTTCTGGTTAATTGTGGGTGTGTAGTAGAAATTTGCCTTTTTACCAAGAAAAGGTGTAATTGAGAGGATGCCACAAAGATGTTACATTCAAACGACATGACCAGATGTGAGAAGGTTTGCATTTGAAAAATAGTTTCGACTGTCCGTTGGTATAGCCTATGACTTTGTATAACATTTTCTTAGGGTTTCTATTTTATTTTTAAAATATTAAAGTTAATCACAATCTAAAGTGATGTATTTTGTTTAAAACTTAAAAAAAAAAATTAGTAATGTCACTTTGTGATCTAGTGAATTAATCCAGAAGCTATGCTATGTCAAAGATAAGGAGAACTCTGTAGTTGTAAGAATCAATGGCAGAAATGTGAGGGATGGCTCTTATAATCTCTTCTCTTCTTACAATCTTCCTCTCTCCTTCAGAGGCCTCTAGCCAATCATTTGCTTCCTGTGTTAGTGGGACCCTTACTAGGGTCCGATTAAGTACTGTATTTTAGGCGATCCCTCTAAAGTTTTTTGGTTTTCCAATGTAGGTTGTCACATTTAAAGTTTTTTTTTTCCACATCACGAGTTCAGGACACGATAACATATTAAAGGAGATTTTCTACAAAGCCAAGAATCTGAATGACAAAGGAATGACAGCTGGAGATTAGGGATCTCAAAAGATTTAGTTCTAAAAGTGATCTAAATCTTTTGATTTCGTGCATTAAGTATCACAGTCAGTCAGCAGGTATCTTTAATTGGCTCTTTCAGCTGTTTGGAGGTTGTAGTTGGGGAGATATGGTAGTAGTTTAAGTGGGAGCTAGTGGGAGACACACAGAACACACTCCCTTTTCACAGAGTGACACCTGACTTCTGTTTGGCCTGTGTGCTCTTTCCAGAACCCGTGAGAAGTTTCTGCAATGGTGGGCTCAGCTCTCAGGAGAGGTTCTCATGCATATGTCTACCTGGTGAGTAAGGCCGGTCACATCTCCAGAGGCCATCAGCATCAGGCCTGGCACTCAAGGCCTGCTGCAGTAGAGTGTGTTGCCCAAAGAGCCCCAGGCAGTGTGGTGGAGCTGCTGGGCAAATCCTACCCTCAGGACGACCACAGCAACCTCACCCAGAAGGTCCTCGCCAGGGTTGGCAGGAACCTGCACAACCAGCAGCATCACCCTCTGTGGCTGATCAAGGAGCGGGTGAAGGACCACTTCTACAAACAGTATGTGGGCCGCTCTGGGACCCCGTTGTTCTCTGTCCACGACAACCTTTCCCCAGTGGTCACGACCTGGCAGAACTTTGACAGCCTGCTCATCCCAGCTGAGCACCCCAGCAGGAAGAAGGGGGACAACTATTACCTGAATCGGACTCACATGCTGAGAGCGCACACATCTGCACACCAGTGGGACTTGCTGCACGCAGGGCTGGATGCCTTCCTGGTGGTGGGTGATGTCTACAGGCGTGACCAGATTGACTCCCAGCACTACCCTGTTTTCCACCAGCTGGAGGCTGTGCGGCTCTTCTCCAAGCATGAGGTGAGTCTTGAGATGTTTCTCATCATGGAAGGATGTCATTGATGTTTTCTGTTGATGTCACTAACAATTAGCTCAATGAGACCAGTATAGTCATCCTTGCTTGCCTTATTTTGCCTTCATAATTCCTCCATCCTTAATGACATCTCATGAGATAAGTGTGCCTCAGTATTTTTTGACTGATTTGTTGTGTTAGTAGCTACAGAAATTGATAACCTTAGTTTTCAGTTGTCTGTGCTTATCCTTTCTCTCAATACTGACTTGCCTTTCTCTGGGTTACATCTTATGAATGGAGAATAGTCTGTGGCTCAAATTCACCTTTAATCCAGGTGCATTTGGATTAAAGGTGCAATACGGAAGCCTGTGGTCAGGTCATTCTTAGTTCTGTTAGGAGAAGTAAATTATGTTTTCATGCTGTTAGAGAGAAATGAGTTTCTTAGGTACCTTAGGGGTCTGGCGATTTATTGGCTTGGGCTGTCAACTGTGTCTTGTCTCCAGGCTCTTTCCTGACTCTCCCCAACTTTGCATGTTGCTGTGGGATGTCTTAATTACTGCTATTCTTGAAGTATATGTTTGGGTGCATGGAGCCTTTTCTCCAGCTCTTTGCATCTGTTAGATGTTATCTGAATATGTGTGTACATTTTTTTTTTTTTACAAATTATGAAAATCCCTAAAAACTTGATTCCATTTCCCCAAAAACTTGCCATACTACTTGTCCCTCACTCACGTTTTAAAAACCATCTCTATTTTTATATAAGAAACAAATTTGTTAAACTAAGCACAGGGTGTTTTTCATTTTACCTCTTTAACAGTATTCCTTCCAGACACGTTCATTGGAACAGGAGGAATTATTATTGTCACAAAAATCTTTCCTGCCAACATAAGCTAAATGAGTTATTAATATGAAAACAAATAGTGTACCATCCTTAGGCTAGTAAGTAACCATTGTTTTGTTGCATTCAATAAGTCATATAGCAGGAGACAACTGAACAGGGCTGCCCTCCCCTTCTCTCCTTTTTCTTTCTGTTTACCTCTGGATGTGCTATTATTTTGTGACTCTGATAATACAGTAATAGATTAGCCTTACACAAAAAGGCCATCCATGCTGGATCTTTGGGTGTCTTAAATGAGCATTCTCACTACTTGGAAAAGCTGACTATTTTCAAAGTTAGGAATAATAATGATTAATAAGGATATAGATTTAGTAGGGTACTAAAATGAGATGAACAAAGATAGATCAAAATCTGGGAAATATGACCAAGCGTTAGAATGTCATTTAAAATTAATGTGCAAGGGGAGCTGTGATGCTAGTAATATGACATCCGGGTCACAGTAGCAGACAGGTGCTCAGCCCGGCTTACCTCATTAAAGGAATAAGAAAGGACCGTGTGCACTGATTTGTAAGCCTGCATGCCGCGAAAGAGGCAATGAAAACTGCCAGGTACTTCTGACATTTTAATGGAGGGAAAATCAAGGCTGCCACAGAAGATGGGAAGTAGGAAGTGGATAGGAAATCAGCCTTCACCTTGTTTCCTATTTGTTGTGAGTGTAGTCCAATTTGGTAGTTAGCACAAATTACTAACCTAAACTGATAATGCTATTGTATATTCTGCTTATAGTTAAAAATTTATGTGCATGTGTATATATGTATCTAATCTTCTAATATAAGGTACATCCATGTTCATTGCTTCATTTATTCCTCTTACTAAAAACCTCATAAGGTAGATAATTTTGACTTTGAGGAATGAGGTCCTGAAAGATTTAGTGACTTATCCAAAGTTGCTGAAGCAGTTGGTAACATGGCTAAAACTGGAACTCAGGTCTTCTGAATTCATTGCCTATTTTTCTGTATTCTGATTTTTCTTTTTTCTTTTTTATTTTCATGAAACTCCTTTGTGTGTGGGACCCGCTTATGATCCAAAGGGGAGTTTAGGTTCCAAGAATGGTATGGAAAGTGTAGTCAGATGGCGGGTGGTGCTTTCTGAATTCCTAACCTCAACTAAAGTGTTGGTAAGACTCTGACCTAATCTTAACTCTAAACAAAATGTTTTTTCTTCTTTCAGTTTATTTCACTATGAATAGGATTTTTAGAGTTGTAATAATGTTACAGAGACAATTTCATAATTTTGTTATCTTTTAAAGTATTTTTGTTGTTTAATCTTTATAATTATTACTTTCATCACTATAAGGTATATTTCAGGAAGAAGAAAAGTAAATACAGAGGTACAGGGCAAAAGAAAATGATAAATACAGAAATGGATGAATCACAGTAATATATACCTAGCTATTAATTGTGGGAAAAACCTTTTGTATTTTGAAAGATCAAAAATGAAAACTCTAGTTAACAGTAATAATCAGAGGGAGGGAGTAATCAATAGGTATTGAAAGTCTGCTTAGGCTCTTGTCACATTTAGGGATAGGATAAAATTACTGAGTGACTTCAGACTGTTGCAGAAAAAATTAGATTGCAATACAAACGGCTTTGAATAGAAAAGGAGGAGTGTAGAGCATGATCTCAATTTAACAGATGTTAGGAAAAAGGACTGAAAAAAAGTATGGTAAATAGAAACCCCAAATTAAGGGTGTAGATATAAGTCCACATACATCAGTATTCATGAGTTTAAATAGGTCAAACTTACTAATTAAAGACACACATTATCAGATTAGATATTTTTCAGTTAGAGAAACCTGAAACAAAGCCAAACCAGAGGGTGAAAATAAGGGGCAGGAAAAAGATATATCAAGCAAATAGTTCCCAAAAGAAAGCTGGTACAGCAATATTAATATTTTATAAAATAGAATTTATGAAAAAAATGTGCAGTAACAAAGAGGGATAATACATCAATCAGAAAACTTTATGAATTAAGAGTTTTTATGTATTTAACTTCATAGGCTTAGTACATAAAGCAAAACTGGAGAATTAAAAGTTAAGTTTGACAAATTTATAAACATGTTAGAAGATTTTAAATGAACTCAGTCAGAAACCAATGGGTTAAGAAGATAAAATGAGTAAAGGTACAGACAATCTGAACAGATGGTTAACAAGCTTGATTTATATTTATTTTTAAAATTTGGTAGCCATATACATATACACACATATACAGAATTATATATGTATATGTGTGTAAACACACATGCAGACCAATACACACACATGGAGTTTTATATGCAAATGTCAGAACTGTATAGTCATATGGATTTCTAAAAATTACTCATGCATTACTAATTGGCAGTTGAAGGCAAACAAATGTCAAAGAATCAGCAACAAACATAGAGCTTTGCCTGCCTGGCTTCAACATAGTTTATGTAGAGAGCAATAAGAAAGGATAATTAATATGTTCCATATTCTCAGAAATTTAAAAATATACAAGTATAGATTCATGGGTTAAAGAGAAACATTAGCAATAAATTGCAAATCACTTATCACTGACCAGCAGTGAACATACTTTGAACTGCTCAAATGTGGGGAACCATGGTGACTTCATTATGGAGAAACTTGGTACTCCCCACTTAAGCGGTAGGATCACAGTTAACATTTAAAAAAAAAAAACAATAGTGTGTAGCTAAAAGGGTACTTGTGGTACCTTTCGCTTTAGATCCATTTATTTAAAAAATTCAAAATGGAAATCATCAAATTAAGTGTTCAATTTATGATGCTAAAAATAACTTTATTACAAAAAAATGTGGAATGGAGGTGGGTGTATAGTTTTTGCGTATCTCCAAGTCTTAGCAAATTGATAGAGCAACTAGAATAGCAAAAACAAAAACCATAGACAGCATCTACAACACAAGTATGTGACAAGTTCTCCCTAAATCTTTACAAATGCATAGGCAGTCACAATGAATAGCTAGGAGTTCTGCACTGTATCAGAAACAGGTAGTACAGGGACACAGTGGTGCCTGAGAAAAGGAGAGTTTCCTTAGTGTCTCTCAGAGCACAAGCTTCCCACAGTCAGATTTCTGGAGAGGCTTGGACTTGAAGTACCAGCATCACTGTTCATTAGTGACTACTAACATCGCAGAGGGACAACCACACTAACGTGTCTCCTGAAGGAAGGATACAATGCCCACTATAGAGTCTTCCCTAAAATGTTGGACTTGAGTCTGATTAATTCTCTAGACCCAACTACTGTATTTCCAGGACATATTTAGGCTGTGGGAAATTGTGTAGCAGGTCTACTAGAGATGTGATCTACGGAATGAAATAAATAGAGGACTCAAAAGTAAGTATTTAGAAACATTTAACCAATGCTAAGTGTTTAGAAATGTTTATGCCATTATATTCAAGCATGTTATTAGTGGACTTATTTTGTTGAACAGTGTGTGGATGGGTTCAAGTGTCCTTAAATACTCTTGGTGAGTTGTGTGTGCCCAGTCTAAGTAGTAGCAGTAGGCCTATGTATCAGTTTGTGATCCTTGGAAATCTAAAACTATTCCTTTACTATGGTTTGAGAAGCACTGCCAAATGGAATAAATGACCTAATTTCTTCAAATAATTTCAAGAAAAAGAAAAAGGATGCAAATAATACCCATGGATTAAAATAAAGACAGATCAATTGATCACCATGTATAGATCCTATCTATTTTTAAAGAAAAAAAACATGACATTTGAGACTATTGGAAATTTGGACATGAATTGAATATTCGAAATTGAGTTCTTTTTTATTTTTATTTTATAGGTGTGATAAATGGTACTGTATTTTTATAAAGTCCTTTTCATGATCTGATGTCTGTGATATTCTTCAAAACAATGTGGGGAGGTGGATTAGGCATTTGGAGATGGATGCAAGAGGATTAATAATTGTTAATTATTGAAACTCAGTGTTGGATGCAGAGAAATCATCATCCTTTCTATTTGTGTATATGTTTGAAGGTTTCCTAGTAAAAGACTGAAGGAAAAAGAAAAAGACTGAAGGAAAACATTGGAATCAGTCAGTCAGTCGAAAACTGGCTAAGCATGTACTGGGATTCAGGACTGTAAGAAGATATCAGACAGTCATGAG